AATCATGGAATCATAGAATCACAGAATCCCAGAATCAGCGGGGTTGGAAAAGAGCTCCAAGATCATGGAGTCCAACCCTGGATCCAACCCTGCCATGGTTCCCAGCCCATGGCACTGATGCCACATCCAGTCTGTCCTTAAACACCTCCAGGGAAGTGACTCCACTCCCTGCCCTGGGCAGCCCATTCCAATGGTTGATCACTCTCTGTGGAAAAAATTCTTTCCTAATATCCAACCTGCCCTCCCTTGGCACAGCTGGAGGCCGAGCCCTCTTGTCCTACTGCTGCTTCCTGGGAGAAGAGCCTGATCCCACCCGGCTCCCCCCTCCTGGCAGGGAGTTGTGCAGAGGGATGAGGTCTCCCCTGAGTCTCCTCTTCTCCAGGCTGAGCCCCCCCAGCTCCCTCAGCCTCTCCTCACGGGAATTGTGCTCCAGACCCTTCCCCAGCCTCGTTGTTTTTCTCTGCCCCTGCTCCAGCCCCTCCATGTCCTTCCTGAGCTGAGGGCCCCGAGCTGGGCACAGATGGGAGGAGAGCAGTGCCCTCTCCGGTGTCCCCAGCAGTGACTCACTGCAGAGGCTGAGTCAAACCTGGGTTATTTTTGCTGGAGTCACAACCAGTCCTCAGAAAACACAATTAAGGGACATCAGTGGAACGAGCAGCCACGTGTCAACGGAGCCCCTGGATTCAGGGCACAGCATCTTCCTTGCCTGGACTAACCATGAGGTAAAACAGGTTCACCGTGACCCCTTTCCTGGAGATTTCCTTGTCACACGTGTCTGAAACGCAGGCAGGGAGCCAGGGAAAGGCACAAGGTGCTCACTTGTGACCCCACATAACTTCACTGAGGGTTTGTGTCCTAAAAGTCGAGCCAACGGGCTAAATCTTGGTTAAATTACAGCACCAGCTGTAAAAAAAAAAACCACAAACGTAATTTTTCCCTGCAGAAACGTCCATAAAAGACCTCAAACCTTATTTGGGCAAATTCCAACAGTTCAAGAAAAGTGATTCCCGGCTGGGTTTCAAAAGGCCTCAGGAGCTCCACATCCCAAACCAACCCCTGCTGGAACTGCCAGTGCTCAGGGTTTGGTTTTGTTCCTCCAGGGGCCGAGAGGTCCTAAACTGGGCACACAATAACCCAGGTTTTATAAACGCTGTGTCTTCTCTTCCAGCAGAGCTCTGAAGTGGCTGGATCTCCCCGCTTCCCAGAAAAATCAAGATGGCTTTCGGGGCATCTAAAGGAAACTTCCCTCCCCATCAGGAAAGATTTGGGTGGATGGAAAGCCCACCCAGTTTTGGATTAGGGAATTTTTAGGGAAACAATCTGCTGTGCACTGAATAATGGGCACGGGAATATCAGGCATGGAAGAGACTGGAATTCCACAACAGGAGGTTCCAACAACATTATCTCCTTCTTACTTTGCCACATCCAACTTAATCAAACATCAGACAACTCATCAGACTGGTAAAAAATCAAAAATAATTTAGATGCATTTTTAAGGACTGAAATCACAGAAACCATGGAATGGTTTGAGTGGGAAGGGACCTTAAAGCTCATCCTGTTCCAACCCCTGTTGTGAGCAGGGACACCTTCCACTATCCCAGGTGGCTCCAAGTCCTGTCCAACCTGGCCTGGGACACTTCCAGGGATCCAGGGGCAGCCACAGCTTCTCTGGGAAAGCTGTGCCAGGGCCTCCCCACTCTCCCAGCCATCTAATCTCTAATTTAAACCTACTTTATTTCAGTTTGAAGCCATTCCCTGTGTCCTGTCCCTCCAGCCCTTGTCCCAAGTCCCTCTCCAGCTCTCCTGGAGCCACTTTAGGCACCGGAAGGGGCTCCAAGGTCTCCCTGGATCCTCCACCTCTCCGGGTGAACCCCCCCAGCTCTCCCAGCCCGGCTCCAGAGATCTCCACCAAAGGCTTGACGTCGCAGCCCGAGGAGCTGCGGGGACACACGTCCCGGAGGGACCTTTCTGCCACCCGCCTTCCCCAGCACATCCCAGCTCTCCTTGGGGCTGGTTCCCTCATTCCCAGTCAGCTCTGGGCTCCGGCAGGTGCTCAGCCCCGGGAGCCGAGCGTGAGTCACGGCGGCAGCTCCGTGTGCCCGGCGCCTCCAGTGACTCACGGGTCAGGTGAGAGGAGCGAACTGCTGGGGAGCAGCAAATTCCCTTTCCCAGGTGCCTTTTTACACCCTCCTGCCTTGATTGTCCTCAGCCCAGGCAGCTGCAATCAAGCCTGATGGGAGCAGCTCCCGGAGAAAGATGGATTTCTCCGGCGTGCAGGAGGTGGGGGGGAAAAAAAGGTGTCTCACGGTGATTCTTTAGCAGTAATTGCAAAGCTCCTCCTGAAGAAGAAGGGAAGCTTATCAGCAAGTCCACAACCTGGCTTGACAGGCATCCAGAAGGGCCCAGAAATCTCCTAAGTGGTGCTCTCAGCTGAGGAAAATTAAAACTTCTCAGTCATGTTGCAAACCCTCTCCAAAACAAAGATCCCCTCCGGCTCCGCGATTCTTCACTCGTTCCTTGGCCAACTTATTTCTCATGCAAAGCAAAGCACCCCAAGCAAAGACTTCTGTCTGAATACTCTTAAATGTTTATTACCCCAAGAGGGAGGTGCTGCAGAAATATTAAAGACCAGCAGCACTTTCTCAGGGAATTCATTTCCTTCCTTCACTCACGACAGTCTCTACGAAAGCCTCGAATTTTCCCCAATTATCCTTTCAAAAATCCCACTTTTTGCTGGTGAACTCATGCATTTATCTGCAAGAAAGACTGAGGACAACTCAGAATATCAGCTGGAGTCCAAGGGCCACCACGGTCTGAGGATTTATTTCTTTATCCAGACTCGCAGTGCCCGTTCCTGGTGAGGAACAGGATCGACCTCCACGACCGGCTCTGGTTGGAAGCGCACGGAATCACATCCTTTTTATCAGATTAACTGGGACCAGAAGCCACAGTGGGCTGACCAAGACAAAGTATTATAAGAAGAAAATTGAGAATTACGTCAAGAGGAGGATGTCAGATTGATGAGTCCCTTCAGAGCTGCTCAGTTCAGACCCTGCAGGTCAGTGTGTCGCTGTCACCGGAAAGACAGCCTTGGACACGGAGCAGAGCCCGAGTTTAGGACAAAGAAAAGAAATTACTGGCCAAAAGGGGAAAAAATAAGGGACAAAAAGGCAAAACCTGTCGTCAGAGTTAGGTGGATTTGGGCTCTGAGCAGCCTGGGATAGCAGGAGGTGTCCCTGCCTCTGGAACGAGATGAGCTTCAAGTTCCTGTCCAACTCAAACCATTCTGGGATTCCAGGGTTCTGTCACAACATCTAAAGCTAAATAAGGATTTGCACGAGGTTGAAAAATGTCCAGGCTCCCAGAATCCCATTAAAACTAAGGGGTGAGAGAGCCCAGATCCCAGACTGCTGCAGAATGCACGACATAAAACCTGTAAAATCCTGTCCCTCTCCCTCATCCCTCACGGCCTCTGCTGATGGAAGGAGTGAGGGAGATGAATCCTCACACTCAGAGAGAAATAAATCCAACCCTGACTGCTTATTTCAAGTGTCACTGACAATCTCAAAACAATGCTGCAGCAACACAGTAAAAGAGCTAAACTCAAGAAGGGCTGATTCATTTGAAGCCCATTTTCTCGCCTCTGGAATATCTGGGAAGTGTAACTTGAGTAACTCCCACATAATTCCATTTACTGAGCATTTAAAGCTGAGCCTTTATGTTAAAAATATAAGCCTTTATTTATCTGCTGCGAGAGCCCACACGTTGCCAGGGCAGGTTTTGTCACACTCCCGTGTGCTCTGACTTCAGAGTCACTTTGGGTTTGGTTCGAACTCCCCGGTCACACCGTCTGTGGCGTAAACAGTCCCCTCATTAATCTGCAGAGCAAAGGCCAGGCTGCTCGAAAAAAATTATTTCAGGCCCAAGAAAATTAGCTGGACACCTGCAGCAGGGGGGGAAAAAAAATAAATAATAAAATATGGACTAAGCAGCTCCTGAATCACGGCGTTAATTCGGGCAGATGACCTGCAGCCACCACGTCCCTCCTCCTGTGTGTGTCCTTCAGTGCTCGCAGCCAGGGCACCAGAGCAAAGGAAAAGCAACTCTTTTCCCAACTTGTTGTTTTATCTTGGTAAAATCCACTCGGGAAGAGCAGCAGAGCACTTTTTTTGTTTGGTCTTTCGAGCGACAAGAGGAAAAAAAAAGCGAAAGAGAACCAGCAGAAGCGTTTGCTGCCCTCCAGAGGAAAACCGAATTATGTTACAAGCTTTAAAACACAAAGGCAGACATGAAAGACCGGTCCTGCTCAGTTCTAAAATCACTTCTTTTTTTTCTTGTGGATAACGTATCAAGGAAAACCCACTGCACTGGACAACGACAAGGCACCAAAGTGGGGGATTCTCCCCGAGATTTAACAGCTCCAAACCACCAAATCCCTACTTTTTCTCCTCGGAAATGCACTGAAAAGTTCTGTATTTCAGGATGGGGATGCACACAAACAAAGCAGCCCCTGAGTTTCAGTTTCTCAGCAGCTGTAAAACGGGAAGAGCATCTCCCTGTCACTCCAAAATGCTGCATTTGAGACTGCAAGGGGCTCGGAGCTCGGAGCGCTGACGCTCTCCGGGGTGAGTCATTCCTTACGGGAGCTGACGTCTGGCCTCCCTCAAAAGGCAGGAGCAGCTCCCCTTCCCAGCTCCAGGAAATAAATCCCATGGCAATGGCATTCGTCACAACTCCCCAGCAAGGTGATGAGGCAGAAAAGGCACCGAGCCCACCAGGAATGCCAAGGAATCAGAAGGAGTTTAGTGATTCCCACGTGAGGGGGGTGGATACACCGGAGGGGGGGGGGTGTCTTTCTTCTGCAGGGCTATAAATATTCTGTGCCTGAAATCGTACTTGGACAAACATTCCCTTAAAAAAATATAAAATCCTCTTCGGTGTTTTCTGCTCCTACACCGATCTGAAACAATTCCCTGAAGGAAAAGCCAGGTTCTTCTTACCTGACAGCCTCCGCCACGTCGTTGGAAGTGTGACCCGACAGGGCGTCGTGCAGGTTCCTGATGAAATAATCTCTGTATTCCTCAGGCAGAGCCATGAAGGTTCCACCCATCACAATAAACTCCACTTTATCCACGCTGTGGCCCAACTGCTTCAGCTGGAAAATTAAAGGTATCATGGAAAAACTGCTGTTTTGTTTGTATAAGAGACAGCAGTTGAGCCCCGATTTTCTTACGCTGCGTTTTTCCTTCTTGGGCTGTTGTGTCTTTTACGGATGACAAACCACTGACATTTCTGTCTAGATTTCTTGTAAACCTTCTAAAAAAAAAAAAAAACAACCCACAAAAGTCATTTTTCTGCTGCAGATATCGAGCCCAGTGCAGGGGATTTTCCTGGCAAAGCAGAATGATTTGAGCTGGTGGAGTTAAACTGGTCCCAGTTTGAAACCAGTTTAGACACGGCCAGAAGGGAAAAAAAAAAAAAATCCCTGGATTTGCCTCAATCCCTGCAGAACCAACTCTCCTTATAAAGTTGAGAGAGAAAAGGACCCCAGTGAATACATGGAGATTTTTCCAATCCTTTGGAGGTGAAGAGAAAACCAGAACAGGACTGAGAAACTCTTCAGATCTTCTGATCCTCCAGAGAAGACTCCAATAAATTAATTCTGGTAGGAAAGCCACTATTTGAGTACTAAATTCCCAAGGTAGTTCCCAAGAACTAGGAACTGCCAGAGAGGTTCAGCAGAATTTTGCTGGAATAGGATCAACAGGATCTCCTATTAATAATCAGGTGTTGTACAAGATCTTATAAGAGGTTCAAAAGTCATTATTAAAAAGGTCTAAAATGAATTTTTCCACGGGGATCAGGTCAGGCAGAATTAGAACTCAGAGCTGCTGACCACACAGCCCTTCTTCCAGGCAATCAATCAAATGAAAGTCATTATTTTCGTCACGGCCACAAGGGATTTCCCTTCCCATTCCAAAAAAAAAAAAAATGTACCTGTTCCACTCTGTGCCGTGTCTGGAGATAGGGATCGTAGCGAGCCCGGATGGCCCTCATGGATGTGGGCTGGAAAACACAAGGAGATGCACTCTGTGAACTTTATTTTTTTTTTTTTTCTTAAAAGCAGTGAAAAAGACCAAAAAAGACAACTTTTTAGCATTGAAACAGATGCTGCTCCAGCCTTCAAATCCTAAGTGACCTTCAAACTCACACACAGAGCCCATCTGACCGGAAATACGAATTTGGCTCCTTATATTTGAAAAAAACAAATCCAACAAAACACATTTTTGTCCTGAATGGCAACGAGACCTAAAATGATCATCATTTTTTTTCAATTTTTAGTGCACTACAGTGGCTAAAGAATCTCTGTTAGTGGCTCTCAAAAGTGTGACAAAAACCACAAAGTGTTTTTCGAGGCACTTTTCCCCCTCCTGTTCCTTTTATTACCTTTTCACTTGGGCAACTCACCCTCTAGAGCTCAGTCTGGACTTGAATATTCTTCAAATTAAACATATTCCTTCAACTAAAATCCCCAATAACTTACTTTTTCAATTACTAGCTGGTGGAAGCCTATTAATAACACTCCAAGAAGGTTCTCAAGGACCTTGTGTATCCTGGATTTTCCTGGTATTTCCTATCTGTTCCATTCAAAGCTCTAAGGGATGAATTCTCTTAATCATGCACAGCTCCCACAGGCTGGTTTTACTAAAAAAATGATTACAGAAATTAATACCACAGCCAAAAAAAACCCCCATGAACTATAAAGCAGTTACACATTCCCAGGATTTTGCTGCTTAATGGGAGAAGTTTCCAGTCCCTGAGAAGTGGATAATAACAAAATCCCTCCTAAAAGGATGCTGCACCAGTGTTTATCACATTAATCCAGTTTGTATTTTATCCCATTTGGCTGCTTTACTTCCCTGCTACAGCTTTTTATTGTTAAAAGCAGCCACAATAATTTAGCCACGGGATCAGCTGCTGTTAAACTTCCTCCAGACAACAGGAGGGCATTATTTTGGAAATATATATATATATATATGTATATTTAGTGGGATATCAGTGCAGACAGAGAGGCAAAAAGGGAACAAATGTAATTTCAGAGGCATCAACAGCTAAAAAAAAGGGGCTTTTTTCCCCAAAATTTGTACTTTTTTTAAATTCAATCCCACAGGTTGGGCAGGACTGAAAGTAATCCCAGTTAGGACTGGGAGCTCAGGGCTGTGTCTTGGCCATCTTTGAGAAGAGACATCCCAAAACCTCTCCACATCCCTAGGGAAGTGTTTGATGCTTCGTGTTAAAATGTTCTCAGGTGAAGGCACAATTTTTACTCATTTTACTCACTATTTACAGGGATTGAGCAGAACTTCCACTCCTAGAGCTGAGCTGCTTTAGATCTCGAGGTTTATAAAGGCTGGTTTTGGTTTTTATCCTTGCAATTGTGGGTGTGTTTGTAGGAATAAAGAGCAGCCTAACCCAAAGGCAGCTTTATGGAGTGTTGGGAATGTTGGGAATGCCTTCCAGCAGACCAAAGCAGTACCTCATATCCAGTGTAAGACTGTGTGGAATATTCAAAATCCGAGTCAGGTCCACCTGGGCAGTATCTGCCAAAGTGAAAGGAGAGAAAAAAGGGATCAAACTCAAACAATTCCAATGAGAGAACCTCCAGGAGAGGTGGAGAGGGGCTGGGGACAAGGGATGGAGGGACAGGACACAGGGAATGGCTTCCCACTGCCAGAGGGCAGGGAGAGATGGGAGGTTGGGAAGGGATTCCTGGCTGGGAGGGTGGGGAGGGGCTGGGCTGGAATTCCCAGAGAAGCTGTGGCTGCCCCTGGATCCCTGGGAGTGTCCAAAGCCAGGTTGGAGCAACCTGGGATAGTGGGAGGTGTCCCTGCCCATGGAACTGGATGAGCTTTATGGTCCCTTCCCATCCAAACCTTTCTGGGATCCTGCAATTCCATGGAGTTGGAGGATGCTCCAGGCTGGGATGGTTCCAGGCTGGGTTTAGAGCCAGAGACCTCAGAGCCCCTTCCAGAGCCTAAAGGGGCTCCAGGAGAGCTGGAGAGGGACTGGGGATCAGGGCCTGGAATGACAGGCCCCAGGGAATGGATCCCAGTGGGAAAGGGGAGATTTGGGGGGGAGATTGGGAAGGGATTCCTGGTTGGGAGGGTGGGGAGAGGCTGGGCTGGAATTCCCAGAGAAGCTGTGGCTGCCCCTGGATCCCTGGGAGTGTCCAAGGCCGGGCTGGATTCCCTTGGAGCAATCTGGGATAGTGGGAGGTGTCAGGGTTGGAACTGGATGAGCTTTAAGGTCCCTTCCCACCCAAACCATTCTGGGATTCCATGATATCCAGGAATGCTGAGGGGAACTGAGCCTTTCCACGTTTACAAACACCACGTGCACAGTGCAAAACGGCTGTTCCATCCAATTTTAATGGGAATGGGATGGCAAAAACCAGTTCAGACCTGTCAAATGGCTGCACCCACCTCAAACAACCTGGTGAGACTTTCCAGAAGCAAAATGTGCTGTAAAAAAAACTCTCCCCTAATTAGAGGGATTCTGGAACGTGGCATTATTTTAGGGAGCAGCCATGCAATTTTTTGCCAAAAAACCCTCTAATTTTACAATCATTAACAATTCCGGTATTTTCCACCCTTCCATGAAGAGCATAACCTTGTTTGATGGAAAAATATGACTTTTTCTTTGGGGTGGAGCGATGTAAAATAGAGACATCACCCCGTTACACAAACCTAATTCTCCAGGAATTTATAGAATTTAAACATCTTGATGGTGAGGAAGCTCCTCTACATTTGTTTTCTGAGCTCAGGAAAGTGATATTTGACAAACACAGCATTCTGAGTGCTCAAGGATGATCTCAGACAGGAGGGTTGGCAACTCCTCCTGCTCCAGCTCCAGCAGGAAAGGTAAAAGAGCAGCCAGGGAATCCCAACTGCCCCAGCGACACAGACAACCACCCCTGCACGTCCTAAATCAGTGAAACAACTTATTTATATTAATTAATACATTCTCCTGGTCACTGTACTCCTGAAACTGTAAATATAATGTGGTGTTGTTGGGTTTGGTCCGTGGAAAAGGTTTGTTCCTTGAAGAAAAGCTGAAAATAAGCAGATTTTTTTTTTTAGTGTGATGTGCAGGAATCGGCAACCTGCAAGTTGGCAGCTGTGCGGAGAGGAAGCTCGTCCCCAAAAGAAGGCTCCTGAAATGCTGGATTTAGACAGAAATAGTGGAAAACTGTCCTCTTGGGTCATGGAGTCATAGAATGGTTAAGGTGGCAAAAGGACTCCAAGATCATGGAGTCCCAGCTGTGCCCCCAGCACTGCCAAGGCCACCCCTGAGCCATGTTCCCAAGGGCCACACCCACAGGGATTTTAAACCCCTCCAGGGATGGGGCTCCACCACTGCCCTGGGCAGCTGTGACAGTGCCTGACAGCCCTTTCCATGTAGGAATTGTTCCCAATATCCCACCTGAGCCTCCCCTGGCACAGCTGGAGGCCGTTCCCTCTCCTCCTGTCCCTTGTTCCCTGGGAGCAGAGCCCGACCACCCTTGGCTCCCCCCCTCCTGGCAGGGAGTTGTGGAGCAGGAAAAGGTCCCTCCTGATCCTTCTTTTCTCCAGGCTGAGCCCCCCCAGCTCCCTCAGCCGCTGCTGCTGCTCCAGCCCCTTCCCCAGCTCCGTTCCCTTCCCTGGACACGCTCCAGCCCCTCCACGTGTCCCTTGTTGGGAGTGTCCCAGAGCTGCCCCCAGCCCTGGAGGTGCCCCAGCAGTGCCAGCACAGGGCACAGCTCTGCTCTGGTACTCACACACAGATGTTGCCCGTGAAGTTGATGTGTGGGCACCGGTGTGGTTTGCACATCACAGCCACGACCGCGATCTGCAAAACCAGAGCGGAGAAAACGGCAGTCATTGCTCCTGAAGGCACTAAAATAAAGTGCATCTGGGAAGGCTTTGTGTACATGTGCATCTGCCAGGCTATTTTAAGATCTTCTGCGCTCGGTCTGCCACCTAAAATATCTGGGAGTTAACCCCTGAAGGAGAAAAGGAAAACATCAAGGAAGTAGGAATCCTATTACTTGAATATTTTCACTTTTCAGGGTATATTTGAGTCTGTTATAAAAAAACAGGTGTCTTACACTGACTTGGATTAATTGCCCTGCTGAAAAGATGCACAGTAATGTGGAAACACCTCTTTTTCCTCAGGGCATCTCAGGATGGTTTGAGTTGGAAGGACCTTAAAGCTCATCCAGTTCCAATCCCGACACCTTCCACTAATCCCAAATTGCTCCAAGCCCTGTCCAACCTTGGCCTTGGACACTTCCGGGGATGGGCTGCCCACAACTTCCTCGGGCAACTTTCCAAGGAAGAAACCTCCTCCCAGACGTTCTGAAAGCAAAATCCCCGTGGGCACAACACCACAGAAGAGGCCACCTGGACCGCGGCGATGCCACCACGCGGATTAAACCTCCCGCCTGCTCCATACCCTGGTCTTTGGTGGCAACCAAACGGAATTTGCGGATGAGAGGAAGGCAGGGCGGCGGTGGGAGGAGGGATGGTGGCCCTGCTTACCCCACTGGCAGTTCTGATGGGCTTGGCCTTCAGCTTGGGCACGAGGACCCTGCGGTACTGGGGCGGGACGGCCGCGATGATCTCGACCAGGCGCGGCTGCGCCGACAGCCCGTACTTGGCCGACGCCCTGGTCTTCAGCCTGAGGGCAGAGACACCTCAAATCAGCAAAAGAACTCCTGGTTTCCATCAGCCCCACCATGCTCCGGGTGGGCTCTCCCAGTCTGCCTTCTGAAAAGCAAACAGCTGCTCTGGGGACTGAGATACGGAGAATAAACTCCAAACAGAGCTGGTAAGCGACAACCGCCAATAATTTGAGTTTCTGGATATTCTTCTAAAGGTGGCTTTACCAAACCACTGTGAAAGCTGCCAACAGGCTCTGCCTTGCCCGTTTTCAGTGATTTAGTTCGTGCCTTCCACGTGATTAACACACACAGCCTGTGGCTGAGCTCATCTCCACGTCAATTCAGGCTTTTCCAGCACCAGCAAGAAGTTTGGAATTATATTGTGTCAATGAAGCAGAAAATGAGGCAAATTCAGGTTTTGCTACAACACATATGGGAAGAAATAAAGAACTTTCTGTGAACAACTTCATGCACAGCATAATGCTAAAAAAAATCTGATTTAACAGTATTCCTACACTGATCTTTCCATTCCCTGTTGGAATTGAGTTTGGGGCTATTGAAGGATGAACCCAAGAGGAAAGATAAAAAGGCAATGGCGAATCCTTGGAGTTTTTCATCCATTTTGTACTCTCAGAATTGCCCACGAAGGAGCAAATCACCACGGAATTTACTCATCTTGGTGCCTCTATTACCAGATAACGGCAAGAGAAATGGCAGCAGGATGTCAAAATGAAACCTGGACGTCACAGAGCGCACAGGACACGTTCATTCCTCGTGGATCCCCCTCAGTGCCAGCCCTGAGGGACTTACTTGTTGAGATCCACCTCTTTTCCCTGCTCGTGGGCCTCGATGAGCTGCTGGATGACGTCGGCGATCGTCATCATCATCAGCTCGGCCTGGCTGAGCCCCCCTGGAATGGGAACAGAGCGACAAACGGGGACACTCAGGGCTGGGGAATGCTGGGGACAACCAGGGACAGCCACCCTGCAAGGCATTCCAGGGAGCTGTGGAATGGATTGGGTAGGAAGGGGCATTGAAGCTCATCCACTTCCAAACCCGACACCTCCCGCTATCCCAGGTTGATCCAACCTGGCCTTGGACACTTCCAGGGATCCAGAGGTAGCCACAGCTTCTCTGGGAATTCCATTTCAGCCCCTCACCCCTCTTACAGCCAAGAATTCCTTCCCAGTCTCCCATCTCTCCCTGCCCTCTGGCACTGGGAAGCCATTCCCTGCGTCCTGTCCCTCCATCCCTTGTCCCAAGTCCCTCTCCAGCTCTCCTGGAGCCCCTTTAGGCTCTGGAAGGAGCTCCAAGATCTTCTGGGATCCTTCTCTTCTCCAGGTGAACCCCCCCCAGCTCTCCCAGCCTGGCTCCAGAGCAGAGGGGCTCCAGCCCTTGGAGCATCTCCGAGGCCTCCTCTGGACTTGCTCCAGCAGCTCCACGTCCCTCTGGTGTTGTTCCCCAGAGTTGGAGGCAACTCTGCAGATGGGACCTCACCTGAGGGGGCAGAGGGGCAGAATCCCCCCTCCCCTGGTGTGGGATGAGCCCAGGACACGGGGGGTTTCTGGGATGCAGAGGAACTGCTGTCACTGCTCATCACTCCTGATGTGCAGCATTCCCAGAACAAGCGACAGCCACCACCTCGTCCCACTGCCTGTCTTTTACTTGCAGGACAAACTGCACCTTTTTATCTCAGAGCAACTGCAAAACAACCCAGAAACGAAGCCACTGGAAGTTAAAGACAATTAGTGGAACACTCTGTGCGTGCCTGTTCCCAGTGCATGTGTCAGGGAACAGAAGGTGTTTGGAGAATCATGGAATTACAGGATAGTTTGAGTTGGAAAGGACCTTAAAACTCAACCAGTTCCATGGGCAGGGACACCTTCCACTAGCCCAGATTGCTCCAACCAGGCCTTAGAAACTTCCAGGGATCCAGGGGCAGCCACAGCTTCTCTGGGAATTCCAGACCAGACCCTCACCACTCTCCCAGGCAACAGTTCCTTCCCAATCTCCCATCTCTCCCTGCCCTCTGGCAGTGCGAAGCCACTCCCTGTGTCCTGTCCCTCCAGCCCTTGTCCCCAGTCCCTCTCCAGCTCTCCTGGAGCCTCATTAGGCTCTGGAAGGGGCTCCAAGGTCTCCCTGGAGCTCAGTGTTTTCCTTTGACCCCTTGGAGCCACATTCCACAGGGATAGTCTGCTGAGAACCCCAGCCTGGAGCCATCCCAGCTCCATGGAATCACAGGATCCCAGACTGGTTTGGGTGGGAAGGGACCTTAAAAACTGTCTTGTTCCACTCCCTGCCATGGGCAGGGACACCTCCCATTATCCCAGGTTGCTCCAAGGGAATCCAACCTGGCCTTGGACATTTCCAGGGATGGAGCAGCCACAGCTTCTCTGGGAATTCCAGCCCAGCCCTTCACTACCCTCCCAGCCAACAATTCCTTTGTAATCTCCCATCTCTCCCTGTCCTCTGGCAGTGGGAAACCATTCCCTGTGTCCTGTCCCTCCAGCCCTTGTCCCCAGTCCCTCTCCAGCTCTCCTGGAGCCCCTTTAGGCTCTGGAAGGGGCTCTCAGGTCTCCCCACCCTCACAGAGAGTGTGACAGGAACACTTCCTATGACCAACAAGGTGCATTTATTTCCCCTGCTGCAGCTCTGCCCGAACCAGCCCGTGCTGGGACAGCAGAACAGACACACCAGACCCGTCAGAGGAGCCCCTGGCAGGGGGGGCTCGGGCAAGGTCGGGGCTGGCCCTTAACACACCCCCTCAAAAACAACACGGAGGGGCAGAGCAGGGCTCTCCTCGTGATCCCACTGCATACACAGAGGGAACTGTGGAATCGTTAAGGCTGGGAAAGATCTTTAAGATCATCAACTCCAACCATTCCCCAACACTGCCAAGGCCACTCATGTCCCTAAGTGTCACAGCCACCGGGATTTTAAACCCCTCCAGGGATGGAGACTCCACCACTGCCCTGGGCAGCTGTGCCAGAGCTGGACAGCCCTTTCCATGAAGGAATTGCTTCCAATATCCAATATAAACATCTCCTGGCACAGCTGGAGGCCGTTCCCTCTCATCCTGTCCCTTGTTCCCTGGGAGTAGAGCCGGATCCCCCCCTGGCTCCCCTCTCCTGTCAGGGAGTTGCGGAGGGCCAGAAGGTCCCCCCTGAGCCTCCTTTTCTCCAGGCTGAGGCCCCCCCCCAGGTCCCCTCACGGCTCCCC